CCTGAGAAAGAGCACGAGGCTCGCCTGAACTTTGAAGGATTGAGGTTCTCTTGAGATCCGAGCGTCTAGCTCGCTGAATTGAGCACAAGGCTCACCTGAAAAAGAGCACGAGGCTCTCTTAATTCGAGCACGGGGCTCGCTTTAGCTTCCCAAATGAGTCGACGAAGGTCGAGTAGATCTGAGCCTCGATTTCGAATCTGAGGTTTGCCTGAGATCCGAACGTCGAGCTTGCCTACAACGAGGTTCGAGCTCACTTGAGTTGAACCCGAGGTTCACTGAATTCGAACATGAGGTTCGTTGAAATTCGAACACGAGGTTCGCTAAAATTTGAACACGAGGTTCATCAAGAGTTGGAACACGAGGTTCAACTGGAGTTGAGCACGAGGCTCGTCAGAAAATGAACACGAGGTTCGTTGGATTCGAGCACGAAGCTCGTCAGAAGCAAACTGAGGTTCGCTGAAAATTTCAAGCCGAAGCTTGCCTGAACTTAGCACGAAGCTCACCTGAAATCGAGCACGAAGCTCACCCAAAAATCAAGGTAACCTCCTCCTTAATTTCCGCACGTTTTCACGCGCACGAACCCCTTTAGGGTTTAATCTGAAACCGTCGCCGTCATTGCTCCTGCACCCAAAGGTCGAAACCCTAGGGTTTCCTGACGCAGTCGTCGCCGTCGGAGTCGAGAGCGAGGCCGCCAGCGAAACTTCGCCGGCGAGGAGCACGGGACCAAAGACCAAACCCAAAAAATCCAAAAATTCATTGATTTTATTTTCAAAAAACAGATCCAGAGTCGGAAAAAACAAGGATGATTTCTTGATCCAGATCCCAAAAAATCGAAGGAAAAAATCCAAAAAATTAAAAAACTTTACTGTTCACGGTGATTTTTTTACTGTTCGCCCAAAAAATCGACAAACGTTACTGTTCATCCATGAACAGATCTGAATCAAACACAAATTAAGATCAAAGAACCCTAAAATTAATCTTAACCTCTTAGAACAAATCACGGTGGCTCTGATACCACTTGTAGGATCTAATACAAACTTGAGATCTAAATCTTAAAGCCATGATTAATTCAAAGAGATTTAATAAGAATCAAAAATTACGGAAGCATATACCTGAATCCATTGAGGAAAACCTGATTAGGGTTTTGATGATCTTCTAACCTTAAGGTTTCTCTAGCCAAATTTCTCTCTAGATGGGGGTGAAGAGAATTAGAGAATGTTACCCTAGATTAGGGACCATAATCCCGTATTTATAGGTGTTGTACATTTGTAATTTGGCCCATCATCAAATTACAATTACAACCTGGTATCTGCACATATAACCCCATAATTTATTTAAATACCCATTAACCTGTAATACCCCAACCCTTGATGTGATTAGTATTGATAGATTTGATTGGAATACTCATACCACCAAGATGCATCTTCTTTTCTGGAACCCAACTCTTAGAAACTCCAAAGTTAAGCGTGCTTGACCTGGAGAAATTCTAGGATGGGTGACCCACTGGGAAGTTTTTCAGGGAGCACGTGAGTGAGGACAAAACGTGTTGAAAAGACATGTGGTGGTTTGTGAGGCCAGTCCATCAGATCTAATAGCGTACCGACTCCGGAATTCCGGGGCGGGGCGTTACAAATGGTATCAGAGCAAAGCCAACCGGAATTGTGAGAGCTAAGTGCTATGCGGCTCAAAGTGTTATGTCGAGATGGTGGGAGCCACCTCTTGAGGCCGTAGGAGCCACCTCTAGAATCTCACACGGATGGTACGGTCTTGGATGATATGATTTGACACAACGAGGACGTTGTGAATTTAAGTGGGGGAGTATGTAATACCCCAACCCTTGAGAGGGTGATGTGATTAGTATTGATAGATTTGATTAGAATACTCATACCACCAAGATGCATCTTCTTTTCGGGAACCCAACTCTTAGAAACTCCAAAGTTAAGCGTGCTTGACCTGGAGAAATTCTAGGATGGGTGACCCCCTGGGAAGTTTTCCAGGGAGCACGTGAGTGAGGACAAAACGTGTTGAAAAGACATGTGGTGGTTTGTGAGGCCAGTCCATCAGATCTAATAGCGTACCGACTCCGGAATTCCGGGGCGGGGGGTTACAAATGGTATCAGAGCAAAGCCAACCGGAATTGTGAGAGCTAAGTGTTATGCGGCTCAAAGTGCTACGTCGAGATGGTGGGAGCCACCTCTTGAGGCCGTAGGAGCCACCTCTAGAATCTCACACGGATGGTACGGTCTTGGATGATATGATTTGGCACAACGAGGACGTTGTGAGTTTAAGTGGGGGAGTTTGTAATACCCCAACCCTTGATGTGATTAGTATTGATAGATTTGATTGGAATACTCATACCACCAAGATGCATCTTCTTTTCGGGAACCCAACTCTTAGAAACTCCAAAGTTAAGCGTGCTTGGCCTGGAGAAATTCTAGGATGGGTGACCCCCTGGGAAGTTTTCCAGGGAGCATGTGAGTGAGGACAAAACGTGTTGAAAAGACATGTGGTGGTTTGTGAGGCCAGTCCATCAGATCTAATAGCGTACCGACTCCGGAATTCTGGGGCGGGGGGTTACAAATGGTATCAGAGCCAAACCAACCGGAATTGTGAGAGCTAAGTGCTATGCGGCGCAAAGTGCTACGTCGAGAGGGCGGGAGCCACCTCTTGAGGCCGTAGGAGCCACCTCTAGAATCTCACACGGATGGTACGGTCTTGGATGATATGATTTGGCACAACGAGGACGTTGTGAGTTTAAGTGGGGGAGTTTGTAATACCCCAACCCTTGATGTGATTAGTATTGATAGATTTGATTGGAATACTCATACCACCAAGATGCATCTTCTTTTCGGGAACCCAACTCTTAGAAACTCCAAAGTTAAGCGTGCTTGGCCTGGAGAAATTCTAGGATGGGTGACCCCCTGGGAAGTTTTCCAGGGAGCACGTGAGTGAGGACAAAACGTGCTGAAAAGACATATGATGGTTTGTGAGGCCAGTCCATCAGATCTAATAGCGTACCGACTCCGGAATTCTGGGGCGGGGGGTTACAAATGGTATCAGAGCAAAGCTACCGGAATTGTGAGAGCTAAGTGCTATGCGGCTCAAAGTGCTACGTCGAGATGGTGGGAGCCACCTCTTGAGGCCGTAGGAGCCACCTCTAGAATCTCACACGGATGGTACGGTCTTGGATGATATGATTTGGCACAACGAGGACGTTGTGAGTTTAAGTGGGGGAGTTTGTAATACCCCAACCCTTGATGTGATTAGTATTGATAGATTTGATTGGAATACTCATACCACCAAGATGCATCTTCTTTTCGGGAACCCAACTCTTAGAAACTCCAAAGTTAAGCGTGCTTGACCTGGAGAAATTCTAGGATGGGTGACCCCCTGGGAAGTTTTCCAGGGAGCACGTGAGTGAGGACAAAACGTGTTGAAAAGACATGTGGTGGTTTGTGAGGCCAGTCCATCAGATCTAATAGCGTACCGACTCCGGAATTCCGGGGCGGGGCGTTACATAACCCAAATTAATTGATCACTTTAGTGGGTTATCCTGAAGGATAGCAATACACACAGATTAATCATATGTGCCCACAAATAGATTTAATTAGATTTAAATCCAACAAAAAGTAGCAACAAAGATTACAAATACGAGTACAAACCATTGATTGATCTAAGATTTTGGTAACTCTTTCTTGTAGGCAATATAACTGTAGCGGATGTAACACAGTCCTAGTCTGAATTGTTTTTAGGACTTTTGCGTATTCATGTACCCATGCTTCCATCTATAAAGGTATTAGATGAGTGATTGTGCTTTTGAAACCGCACACTATCGGATTACAAACCAACGTAGCACATCATTCTGTATGTTTCTGTCTTCTATTAATTATAATTATGCAAGGTTTGCTATCTCATTCGCAGATCATAGTCCACTTCCGAGTTTTGGGTGCAATCGGATGCTACCTTATTCTAGCCTCGGGTGCTGTTATGATCCAGACTAACATCTCCCCTCCTTTATCTGGTTGAATCCTCGCAGTCACGAACGACCCCGCAAATATCGCTTGCTTAGTGACGCGGGGCCCAGTAAGTTGTCGGCAGTTTAGTAGCTCAGTGATGGTTAGTTTATATGATCACTGTGAACTAATGACTACGCTTAAGTCGTACTTCTACAAGCAACGCAAGATCTCCTGAATTCCTTAGCTGATTCATTTATTGGTTTTATTTCGTTGTAGTTTTTATGGAGGACAAACGGAGGAAAGAAAATTAACAAAGGACCTATTAATACCCTTCCTCGACTAGCTTTATGATGAGAAAGCGCCACCAACGTGTTATCATAAAAGGATGAAGAAACAAGAATAACAATTTGAATGGTAACTTCACAGCAATTGTTATTTGCCGTGAGTATATATAAATCTCGCAATGAGGCTCAAGATCCCGGGCTTGCACCGGCTGCTCGAAAAACATGAATAACAATTTGAACAGAACTCACACACAGCAGTTGTTATTTGTGAGTATATATAAATCTCGCGATGGGGTTCAAGGTCCCGGACTAGGACCGGCTCCTCAAATATGCGCGCCATCTGTTACAAAATCATAAGCTCTGGATTAAGATGAAGAAGTCTAAAAATTTAAATAAATAAATAAATAAAGATGAAGAAGCCTAACGAATGGTAGTAAATGTCAAACCCTATGTTAACCGAACCCATAACATCATACTTTGGGGGGTTTTTGAAGGCAGGGGAAAATTGTTACCGGCAAAAACTATAATTTATATAAAACAAGTCATTAGAAACCTCCACCCATGCAGTCTCCTCTCTCACACCTGCATATTTGTTAAAAAAAACTACACTCATTAATATTTAGTGTTAAAACAAATTATTAAGTTGTTGTCTTACATTAGCGACGGTCAGGAACGAGAAAACGAAACAAGATGGCAATGAAGCATATAACAAGCTTCGGGAGGATAACATATAAAAACCTCTTGCAAAACAAGATGGCAATGAAGAATATAACAAGCTTCAGGAGGATAACATATAAAAACTTCTTACAAAAATATGGGATTCACACATCCCTGATCTTCGGGAGAATAACTTAAAAAAACTTCTTACAAAAATATGGGATTCGCGCATCCCGAGTGTGAAGTTCAAAACACACTCATCTAACAAGGAAATTGCGCACACTCAAATCATTCCCAAAGATCACAATGGTGCCTCACAGGATACACTCTTTTGTCAATTCTTTCATGGTTCCTTAATAATTACATCTTATATAGTATGAGAATAAACCCCCAAAAAAAAGCCACAACCAAGCTGCCAAAGAACAATCTTCTGCAGTCAAAATTTTTGTTCCCTATCAAGCTGGATAGAACGCATTCCTCCACCTGCTGAGGACTTTAACCAGTCCATAAATTAATCCGAACCAGAGAGCTTCACTCCCAATATTGGCATGTTTTTCTACCTATTTAGGGATAAACATGCCAATATTAATGCCATAGTGGAAACCTTTGTTCTGGCCACTTAGGGAATGCGCGCTTGTACAAGCTCATGCATACGGTATCATGCTGCTGAATTACACCATTAAATACACATTTCATTGCACCTGAAAATGGAAATAAAACATTTGGAGTGAAGACAGTTCTCAGCACACTGGTGGGGTGTTTTCACCTCCAGTTGAAACCTGAAAGAAAGTAGAGAAATTCATACCATGAGTACCAACAGGTTCTTTTACGCGGCCTCGTCGACCACATTTTGTGAATACTTCCACTGGCTGTATATGACAAGCAGAAGTATCTATGTTAGACAATCAGATGCTTGCTATTCTTTCAATTAAACAAACGATTAAAATTAAAATTCAAACTGCAAAACTGAGGTCACCTTGAACCATCTAACGTCATCAGGTTGGTGAAACATAAACCGGACACTTGCTTTCAATTTAGATACTCTTTGAGGATATCTGCATTGTTTAGACAGCTTTTAAGTTTGATATAGACCACGAAAAGACAAATTGAGGGGGAAAACAGAGTCGTTTCTACTAAGAGATCAAAGCAATGACATACGTGTGCTAGACCAACATTATCAGGTATGAAGTATTTTATAGTCAATTACATCCACAAAATTTTGTATTTCTAAGTAATTAACTGCTCATAAAGAACATAGCATTGGCATTTACATTTTCCAATTACAATAATGAAGCCATTGTGTGTGCGGGGTGGTGTGTGGTGGGGGGATGGGTTGGTGAGGTGAGTAAACAATAGAACTACAGAAGATTTAAGAAAGCTGTCAAGCTCTTGGTCAGCAGACTCAGCACTACTGAGCAAGATCAGGGAACATCCGTCAAACCTGACAGGCATACTTTGCCTTATTTCCAGTCATATATTTTTACCCGATGAATCAAGAGTTGACCCTCCAAATTCCCTATACTGGGAATGACTAATGAGAATACATAAGGGGTAAGATGAAGACCTCTCACTCACTACCTGTTTGGATGTGCCCCTAGGTAAGGGAAGGTGAGTGAATATAGGATGAGTTTAAGTTAGGGGAAGTAATATACAAAACTTGTTTGGCAATTTAGTGAGAACCAAAGAGAACTTATTTCACCATGCTTGGGAAGTTTAATAAAGTGAATCTACATATGTAAATTCACATAAATAACCTACATGTTATATCATCCCTTTGGATACCATCTTGATACACGGGTACAATTGTCTGTGTAGTATTATCCTTTTTCAAGAGTTTCCTTCGCCTCCATTACACCCCAATTTTGTTTTTGTTTTTTTTTTTGGTTGGTTGGTTGGGGGGGGAATGTGCCCCCCCACCCCACCTGCCCTTATTTCCCATTACCCCCAATCCAACCACGTTAAGGGATTCTCACTAGGAGTTAACAAATCAGAATTGGCTGGGAGTATATGTATGTATATATCTGTGTGTGTGTGTGTGTGCGCGCGCGCGCGCGCATGCCGATAGAAAATGTATATGAGGAAACCAAATAATATTGAAAAAAAATATTTCGCATGATACAAGAGAGTTCATTAATATGTTTGTTATATCTAAAATTCTAAGATTAAATCTTTTGATCATCCAAATAAGTCTCAAATCCATTAATCTAAGGATTAAAAGAATTGCAACTGTATGATCAACATATATTCGGATGTTTCGGATATGGATCCGAATATTTCATGAAATAACTATAAATGGAACCGTATCCTACCGGTTATAGATTGTGGTAACCATATCTTTATCCTAACCGATATGGACACGAGTATATCTGCATATATGGATATTTTTGGCACCCCTAATTCTCACTCCTAACTTAATTAGTCTAAATGAAGAAGCTAAATGGGTGGGGGAGAACCCTATGCATTACGGGAGCAACATTTCTTATTGGAACATCATAAGGAAAAATCACAAGTAACTTTTCATTTTGTTCAATAATCCAGTAAAGGAATTAGCTTTATAGAATTAGCATTCCTTCAATATTTAATTTGCAGCTAGCACAACAGCAGCCGGTGCCATACTTCAAGTAGGGACAGAATTGCTCGTATTCATGGTCTTGATGAAGTAATGGCAGGTGAATTAGTAGAATTTGAAGAGGGTTCAATAGGCATTGGTCTCAATTTGGAATCAAATAATGTTGTTTATCTAATATAGTGACCTAAAGAATATGCAATGAATTTTTAATAGAACAGAGTGCTAGTGTTACGCATAGGAAGAAACACACCTAAATTTCTGGACACAAAGCAAGAAGAAAATTGGCATATTACCCAGTTAGGATGATCTTCTTGAGAACTATCCTGTCTGGATCCACACTCCTCAGAGAACCAACAGCAGCCACAAGAGGTGTTTCCCCATGCCCACTCTTCAAAACAACCACAGGTAAGGGAGGGAAACAAATAGGAGCATACACAGAGGCTATTGAGAAGCGGCCTGGGTGTAAAAACCTTTCCATCTTGTGCTTGGTGGAGTTTATGTCATCAGAAGAAAATACTGGCCTGCAGAAAAACAAAGCAGAAAATTTTACATATATAAATGATGTGTATTATAAATACCAAGAGATCATAACCCTTTATAAGCTTGCAAGTGCTAACCAGCCAGATATATTACCTTGCAATGAACTGGCGGAACCCAACATTGAAAATGAAGGTATCTTTTGATTTAATAGGGGCTTCATATGATTCATGCTTTTTAACGCTGCAAAGTATAAACATAACTTTTACAATGACAATTGGGAAATAGAGATTAATTAAAGGAGTCTAATGCATCCCTATAATCATAGCTCTGCAAAACTGGAAACAAATAGAAAAATATGTTAACATCTTGTCTATGAATATAGTGAGACAATCAATAGATACTACCATTATCTAATATCTTGAAATTTACAAAGGATCCTTAGTGTAATGAGTTAATATATCCAACGGGCATGGAAGATATGGATCCAATGGGCTTATGCAAGATATGGAGGTGAACAACCTTCAGTGCCAACAAAAGGAAAAAAAAAGAAAGAATTATCATTCTAGTACATCATACAACTCTAAAGCATGGGCTGCTGGAGTTTAATGCCTGGAACGTAAGTTGATGCATTGTAAAACAAATTTAAAAATTTCAGTATATATGAGTATCTTATGTGACATTTCTAAAAGGCACGCCGATAATCCTTTTTAGTGTAATCTGTAAGATCACCATCAAGGAAAACAAATTCCCAAGACAATTTCCATGCAATATGAACCAAATAAATGGCTTGAAGACGAAAAAAATTTTAGAACAAAAAAATACAAAATTAACATCTCTCTCCCAACTCTTCAGGGTTCCACTAAATGACACATCTTTTCTCCCTTCAATTCTGTTGAGGATCGTCTCCTTTGACTACATATCGTACACCTTTTTACAGAGTGCACGTCTTTTTAGGCCTACGCCCGGTCCTTGTTGCTTCGTCAACTGTGATCCTAGGACTCTGACTCTCACTTCTACCTGGCACAATAATTAGTCTTCACTACACATGCCCATATAGATTGATTCTCTCTCAATTTACAATCAAGTGAAGTTGTCTCTAACTGCTTATGGTGGAATTCATGTCTTATTCTATCTTCTAGTTCTAGCATATCACCATTGATCCACTTTCGACATTTCCATTTTAGCTATTGCTCATTTCTGTACATGTAGCTTCCCAATCGCCTGACATTATGATCCACAAAGTACAAATGTTTTTTATATCTATTTTACAAAACACATTCATTTCATGATTTTTCTTTCCACAAAGTACAACTGCCTTAATACCTAGTTTACAGAACACATTCATTTCATGATTGTTCTTTTTACAGAACACATTCATTGCATGATTGTTCTTTAGTCACATTGAAATCCAAAGATTTCTCCACACCATCCGTTTCATTATATAAACAATAACTTCAATCTCACAAGCACCATGAATGATCGAGTTTAAGACAGAAAGAAATGATTCCCTTCTAGTTCTAGGTAATCACATTTGATCAAAGTGCAATCTACTAGCATTTTTCTTTTCTCATAATTTTGCTGCAGTTATATCAATTATTTTTGTCTTTTTACTATGTTTGGGAGGTTAGTAAGAGGGTAAGGGGAAATAGGGGAAGTGAAGTGAAAGAAAGGGAAGGGGGATATAATATCATGTTTAGGAGTTTAGTAAAGGGAATGAAGGGGAATCATTTATTAGCTGTTGGATTCATATCATGATAGTTCTCAAAATATTTCACCTCCATTACACCCTGCTCATATATATATATAATCATATTATATATATATATATATATATATATGATATATATATAATGGGAAAAGTGAATCTAAGGTTGCCACCCTAGCGCTCCCACCTACAGGATGCCGGCCTAGAATAACATCATTTCCTAATTTTTTTTCCCGATCCACTCGTTTGCAACTTGATCTACACGTTCTTAAACCAACACACCAAATTTGCGGCGTGAAACCCGTTCGTGTTTTGCCCTTTATCACACTCGCCCTGTATTTTAACCGTTTCGACATGAATATGAACTTTTTGCGACGGCCACCTCAACGAGATTGCGTCAAAACACAACGGACGTTCACCCAAAATTGGGCTCGTGTTTTGGGCTTAAGAACGTGTAGATCAAGCTTCAATGGCCAGCCGGATTCGAAAAAAAAAAAGCGAAATTTGATGTGATTCTTAGCGTCGCGTCCTTAGGCTGGGCAGCCTAGGGTTGGGGTTTCAACCTTAGATTTCACTTTTCCCTATATATATATATATATATATATTATATATTATATTATATATTGGCGCGGTGGGTCGAAACATATGCATGGACGGTTGATTGAGGCTGCATATTTTTGTCACCCTTCCCTTCCCTTTCATTCCTCCCCCCCCCCAACTCACCAAACAGGTTGACTGAATTCGATTTCCACAAGTATGATAAAGATCCACACAGGGATATAAAATTGAAGGGACAGGTCTATCACTTTTATTGCAATTTTAATTCTCGATTAATAAACAACATAGATCAAGATAAGTAGTAGAAAAATAGGGGAAAGTTTGAGCAGAAACTGAAATAAATATTGGGCAACTTTAAAACCTACCACATATAGTTCTAAGGTAGTAACATGTTATCACGCTCCACAACATAATTAAAAGATCAATCATGCACGCTAAATTCCTAAATAAACTGATGCAACAAATCACCCACTATATGCATGCATGGCCAGGCCTAGTATGTCATTTAAAAGTGAGAAAAATATAATTCCCAGTGTTACTTCATTCACCTTGCTTGCAACAAGCTTAATATTACTTGTCCTGTGTTTATGTAGTCCAAACAATTAAATAGAAAAAATACTGGATAATTTACAACATTCATATAACCATGTGCAACTTGATAATTAAATGCCATAAATAATAAACAATTGCAAATGTGACGATTTGTTCATACTTAACAAACTAAAAGACGGTCAAAGAAATACCTGAAGTGAAGAACAGACATCTTGGACTCATGCTGCAAAAGGCCACATGCTATTACAGGTGATTTTCTTGATAGTGAGCATACTTTGGATGCAACATCAACAGGAACATGCTTTATATGAAGCCTTGTGTAAGAGCCAACTGGCAAACAATCGTTCATGCTCCCTTGATCTCTGTTAAGAACTTCCAAAGTAACGTGCTTCTGTGTCTTAGTGAAATTATCAAAAGCAAATATTCTTGCATACTCAGGTGGCAACGATTCCTGTCATAGGGTCACAATAAAGCATTCAGTACAGGAGACTAAAAACGATTCCTGAACAAAAGATCAAATTCCTACAATCACACTCACTTTAGGATCCCATGAAGATGTCCTAAAAGACTTGAGTCCCCTGTACTTCGCAAAACGCTTTTTAGCTGGAACACCAATAGGAGTCTCCACCTCATCTGGGAATTCTGAAAACCATAGAAGCTGTCAATACTTAGCACAATAGAATGAATAGCCTTCTAGCAAATGAACTGGTTGATAGAGTTAGAAATCAACAAACATTGAGTCACGAGTTAAATTCAAATAATTAATCTAAATCTATAGCATGAGAACCATTCCCAATATCTGGCATTGATACCGACATATTTATGTGCTTAATAAGTTCTATGAAAACATAAAAAGTGACAACTAAACCCCAACTACTAATAAAACTAATTGACAGCTTTTAAAAGGATATCTCAAGAAACTGCTACCAGAAATGTATGGCTAGATCAATGACTAAAGCGGATACTTTTATCAGGGGAAAGACATAGCAATNAAAAAACAAATAAATACAAGCCATAGGCTCATACATAAAGGGGCTTGAATGATATAATAGTTACTAAGAAAACTTGACTGGTCGTAGAAAAGATGGTTAATAAATAAACACTGCCCAAAGGCCACAAGTCTGAGGCCAGGACAGAAATGCATAATATTCCAGTCAAACTCAACTCTACCTTCAATTGCTTTCTTTAATTCTGAATGACACTTGTACACAATTAATGCCAGTCAAGTTTCAAGCATTTCACTCTGTAAGTTCATTTGAGGATGATAGATAAGGCCATTAATTTAATTTAATTTAATTTAATTAATTTATTTATTTTTTATGACAATAACAGAAGAGAAAACAGATGTAAGAACTAAGAACTAAACAGAATGAGGGGGATCAAGACATACAAGCACACAGACACAGGGTAAGAAATCTACTTCATCTTCTCTCCCATTTTCAATATTTAGTTGATTAACCTAGAAAGTTAGTTTCACAATAATAAAAGAAAGATCATAGTGTTTTTCATATTTTGGAAACATTCACCTCACTTAAATAGAGCCTCTGCAGATGACCAAATTTCTAAGTACTTGTTTCTTAACTCATGTTTTTTCTTCAACAGTCGCAATGAGTATAATGCTATAAGTGCTAGAACCTTGCTCCGGAAGGCCTAGATTAGGACACTTAACTTGATGAAATGCCTCGTGTTAAAGCCATAAAAAAAAGATCTTCTAACCTTTAGCTAAACTGCAACCACTAACAATGCTTTATTAATTCAAAGTCACTAATATTTTAGTACAGGCCCTAACTTGTGAATGAGTAACATGCAGCTCAAAGGTTTTGAAAATTCAAAGAACAGCAGGGATGAAAATGACCAATCCTGCATCAGCTTTTAAGACATAGGAGTCAGGGAATCCCTTAAAAGGAGACTTTAACAACTGAAAGATTAAATTAGCCTGAACTTCACATGAAAAATGAGCAGTGAAGCAAGCCTCCAAGAAGGCAAAAAGAATAGGACGGAATTTCTTTTCTAAGAGGTAAAAGATTTATAAGAAAAACCTCCAATGAGGCAAAAAGAACAGGACGGAATTTCTTTTCTAAGAGGTAAAAGATTTATAAGAAAAGCTCATAATGTCAATTCACTAGAAGCTGCAGTGGACTTCAAAAGCTTAGTCAAGTTAAGAGTCACCACACCAGCTGAGACTCCACAAAAATGAACATGTACACCTACTGGAGAGAGAATGCATGGATTAGATCCAGCTTGATAGGCATTCTAGAACAAAAATATCATACTATAATACAAACAAAAAGATTATTGAGGCTTGAGTCTTCCCTAGTTGTTTCCTAGTATGCTGAAAAGACAAATTGAGTGCAATAAAAGCAAAAAAAGGAAAATGTGCAGGGTTCCTAATTTCCACAAATATCATGACTCAAAGTTGAGAAAGAAAAGTTAAACTAAATATACAAATTGTATGGTAAGATTTAAAAGGAAAAATACCTTCATCTACAGCACTTGCATCTTTCAGCTTCTTAATCTCAGCCTCTATCTGCTCCTTTGTCAAGTTTTCATTATCCTGAACATGCATTTTTAGTATATTAGATTAGATCAAAGACAGCAGGAAGACTTCTAATGGAAATGCAAACAACAGTACATGCCCCAGAAAAGATATGAAATGTCCAAGACTATGTTCCTCTCAAAAAACATCTTTCTTAATAAACAAAACCAGATATCCAATTTTGTTAGAAGAAAATATATTTAATTGGTTTAAAGAAGAGAAAGCAATTGTATATAGGTAATACCACAGAGAACCTGAATGTATTTTAAGTCGCAAAAGATTAAGGGGTTTCACAGTTACGACATGATAATAAAAATTTCTTCCAAAAGATCAGTAAGAATCTGAAAACTCACAACCATATCAGTGTCAGCCTCTGTCTCTTCATCAAAATGCTCATTGAATGGTGCTTCATCAGTATCAGACTGATCAAATCCATCCTGCACTGTGTCTCCATTTTGTTCATCCAACACCATCCCGTCACTTCCTTCTTCATTGTTGTCGGAGTCCTCATCACTTGTATCTTCCACAATCCAAGCAGCCTGCATATAAAATAAAATTAACACCGCAAAACTTCTTTTAAAAGGAAAAAATATTAGTGGTATTCTAGGACATAGATAGGACAATAGCATACCTGGTAGTCTGATGTTCCTCGTGGAAGTATTTTCTTCTTCAACTTCCGTTCTTTATTATCAGCATCAGCTTCAGCTATCTCTGCTTCTGTCGGCCATGTCTGATATGGATTAACAGGTTAATGGAGACAACTTAACCATAGAAGCAACAGATTTTATAGGCAAGAAAAACCGCCTGAATGAAAATGTAACTAAAAGAATGAAAGCACTTGACTTCTGGAGTTCAGGCTAAATAATTTTAAGAAAGCAAAAAATGATGTCTGATGCTAAATATATTTTTCAAAAATCTGAAGCTGAAGCATCTGTCTCCGCAGAGTAAGGGTAAAAGACTTTCCAAAAAAAAAGTGCTCCTATCAAGATAAAAAGGAAGAACAGAATTGTAAGGCTTGAACCACGATTAGCCCGTGGGGGCCTAGGAGACGATGGATGACCATGTCAGTTACCCATGCAAGATACTGACCTAACACCACTAAACCAAGGTTTGAAGTATCAGCCAATACCAGAATTGAATACAACTATGACATATTGAGTAAGCTGTGTTGCTTTAAATATAAATGCAAATTCACAACTTAAATTGACCAAAAGCATTGGAAGTGACTAGCAATCCAAGTATATTTAGTTACATGTCCAGACACCAAGCAATTAAAACATTGGTATGAATGTCCAATTATGAGATAATAGTGACTAAAAATGCTGATATAAGTAAATAGAAACTAATACATGAAATCTGAGTCTTCAACGACAAAAAATTGATTTTATAATGCCATGTTGCAGGGAGTAAAAAAAAGAAATCAAATGATAGAACTATTATGATAAAATTAATTTCTGTACAGACTTTCGACTCAAAACTAATATACGCCGATATTGGCTAACAATGACTAATACAAGCTGAAATTAGCTAATAAACACTAATACATGCTGATATAAGCAAATGGAAACTAATACATGAAATCTAAGCCTTCAACTACCAAAAATTGATTTTATAATGTTATGTTGAGGGGAGTTAAAAAGAATAAAAGAAACCGATTGATAGAACTATTACAATAAAATTAATTCCTGTACAGACACTTCTGATATACCAATAAAGGAGAACCAAAACTGTGATTGATATCGAAATTTCAACCCTGCACTAGACACCCTCATGCTTTCATCTAACACTAAAGTTTATTGTTTTGGTCCGTGTGAGGGATAAATATTTCCAATTGTTCTTTCCGACTGTTGCTTTGAGAAGAGGTGACCAAATGAACATCCTGCGCACCTATTTATGATAACATTTGCCTTTTATTAAGACTATAGTGAAACAGCTACCATCAAATTGATCAGTTTTTCACCATACGAGTGAGTTAGATTGAGGTAGTTCCTATAGAAGCTATTTTACTCTTGTCAAAAATCTTTAAATCTCTCCGCCTTTTATAAATATATAATTATTCCAATTGAATTTGGACATGTTCCTTGAGTGCAAAGCTTAAATGCAGGCGCAAAGAATACCTACTGACAGCAGTTAACAAGTCCGGAATTTCAGACCAATTCTAATGCTTAATTTAATGCTGACAGCTGATCCCATGATTTTGTTAAGGCTTCTATAGCGACATGCAATGATTAAAAAAGCGAAAGCGCAAGGAGAAGTGCTGGACTCTTTGATGAAGCAGCGCGTAAGCTTTAAAGCGTGAGGCGTAAGCTTCATGAGAGTATTTTAATTTTAGATTTGTAAAAATTATGAACATATAATATTAGTGTTATAATTTATAAATATATACACTCATGTCTTGATTAGTAAATAAGAATTAAATATATGACGTATAAAAATGTATCGTACTAGACTAAGCTACATGCATAATGTAAAAATTTTATTTACACTCACATGGCTATATTAAAAATACATAGGAGCATTTTAATGTTAGTTAAAAAACTGTTTTATATCCTCCAATCTTGTCTAAAGTGTGCGCTTAAAAAAACGTTTTATGAAGCACGAAGCGCACACTTCAATTATGTTCTAATTTGTAACCCCTGAAAACAAGAAGATAGCTGATGGAAACATTTCACAACTTGTATAAAAAATATTTAGCTTCAGTTTACTTCATTTCAGCACTGGAGATATACTCCTCTAAAACACTTTACATTGGTACCAAATACTTCCATACATTAGAACTGTTCGCATTTTATTGAAGGTTTTAGATGATAGTTCAGAGGAGCTATCTTGGTTGCATGAATACTAATGACGAAAGTAGATGATCGCTATAGATTTAAAGGGACAACCACCTTTCTTCAGCCTCCTTTTTCTTCATCATTGCTCAACAAAGGGTTAAATCTTTAGAAAAATAAACTAACATATGTGCTGAGCTCATAGATGGTCTAATAGGCTTCAAAATTAACAGACAGAATGAACAGACTAAGACAAGTGATTGACTCAGGAGAAGACTTGCAGCCAGTACTTTACCCAATATGATATCAAAATGGTCGTAGAAGTGAGGCTTCAGTGACAACAACACATTCCGTGACTACACTAGGATAAATGAAACGGCTGAATCTTCTTATTGTCCACAGAAGCTGCCAGAGAAGTAGACTACATTCACTAAAACTGTTCTGCTTTGGCTGTTAATTCATCTCTGAGTCATCTCACCTTTTCTATATTATATGTTACATTAACAGTTGCAATGTTTATCTATTAGTAAACAAAGCCCGTCAGTGCAGACAGTAAATATAGTAGAACCTGTGAACTTGTGTTGTGAAAATGCTGCATTCATGCTTTGACTGTACAGACTTTTATCTTCCTTTCATAAATAAAAAAGAGAAAGGAAAGACAACAGTAAGGCCGGTTTGCTTAAATGTGTTTTCAGACCAAAACTGTGTCTCAGCCATAAACTTTTGTTCGACTGCGAAGTCAAATCTAAAAAGTGCATTCTGCATGAACATATAGTAAAAATAGTTGTTGAAGTTGACCTGTTCTCCAGCAAGAGGATCTGGGGTATTTTCAACAAGCAAAGGTTCTTGATTCATGGGATCCGGAAGTATGGTGCGCATAACCTGCATAATTTTTTGATAAATACATCAGCACTCCAAAACCTGAAATCTCCAAAAAAGTACAATTAATTTTGTAACCACCACCAAAAACATAATAAACTATTAATTTTACATCTGCTACTTGCAACTAGAACAAACAAGAAACTCAATTAACAATATGAAAATCATGCAATTTGAATACAAAATTCATCTGTTTGAACTGATAACTTGGATTTGTTTAAAAGTATTTTGGAATTTTGCATTGACAGTCAAGTAGCCTTATGAGTAGTAATCATTACTATGGAAGCAACAGTCCCAGTTAGCAGTCCTTGTGGATATGTCATCTGCCAACATCAAAGAAAATTTACCAGCACCTTTCAAGTTCCAGTAATTGAAACTTGCATGTCCTGAACAAGAATTCCACATCCATACTTCCGATATACAACCCAAGTATTAACAATACAACAGAAAACTGTGTAATTGGAAATCCTTTTACACCATGACCAGACTACATCCTCTTGGTCACTTCATTCTCTTACACCTCGTTTGGTACGCGGGAATAAGTTGGAATGAAATGCAATTGTAACTTCTCATTCATGCTTACCAAACATGATGTGTTTTTGGATGCTAAAAATGCCATTCCCACTTCTCATCCGTTCCCACTTAATATGAGAAGTGATATTCCCAAGGGGTTATCAAGGAATTAATATTCCCACTCAAGTGAGAATAAAAATAACAAAATAAAAATTTTAGATATACCCTTCTTAAAGATGTTTCCACTTAATTCTCTAATCACACCCAAACATGAGAATGGGAATGAGAATTCCATTCCAACAGCTAATCCATTCCATTCCTACCTTCATTCCATTCTCACTTGACTCCATTCCCACGTACCAAATGAGGTGTTGGTTGCTCCCAATGTACTCATTTCTCGTCCCTATACATCCTTTTACTCATTTCATAAAATTACTTACACAATATGAGCCAGATAAGTAGAACCTCTTTGTGAATTCATTGCAGGAGTTTAAAAAAAGACCTACTTTTAGAAACTCAACAAGTGATCTTATGGTTCAAAATTGGGTCGAACTTTCAAAATATGCAGCTCTTATTGTAACAAAGTGATGCCAGATTCTTCAAGAAAATAATAATTATACAGGAATCCCCTTTTCTCCCCTGTATCAAACCTTTTAAATGCTCATAAGCTGATAATGAGAATTAGTAAAGTGCAGGATCAGCATTCCTGTTGAGTCATTTTATGCTCCAGTGACTACATAAGACGACCTTTAGACATCAGTCTTACCACTTAAAATTTGACGTGCAGCAGACTGCTACACAACTAGCACAAACAGTATCCTCAATAATTCAACATGCTCACAGTATATTTGTAATGTCATTTCTAAAAAACAGTAACCAAATTGATATATCTAGATGCTGGTGAAAACTCAACCAAGTCATTTGGATAGAAAAATATGAAAGGTTTTGTTTTCTAGAGCTGGTCCACAAAACCATAAACCTGATTAGGGATTTAGAATCCGGGGCAAATATTTCCCTAAGGAGCTGTTAGGTTGTTCTCCTAAATAAAAAGAAACCTATTTCCATACCAAAAATACTATCCCATGGGTTCCAAGGAGTTTCTTGTAAGCCTGTTTATTTTGTTTGGTTGAAGAAAAAATGTCGAGGAAGAAATATATTTCCAAGCTTTCTATTGTTTGGAAACAGCAGTAATTTTATGAAAATGTGAGAGAAGAAAATAGTGGTGGACTGGTGATTTTTTTGAAAATATTGAACCCACATGATTATGGATTAAAATATTATCAAAAAATAGGTTTCCCATTGATTCCCTCACCAAAATGACAAATTAGGGTTTACCATTTTTAGCCATCATTTCCACATATTGGTACCCATATTTCCTACTTTTATTTGCCAACCAAACTAATAAACTAGAAAAGATGAAAATAGCTTTCTAGGATGTGGTAGGAAATCGATTCGTAAGCTTTTTTCCTCCAACCAAACAAGACCTAAAAGAAAAATGTGATAGATTTACTTAGAACAGTGGAACTAAACAATAATTGCATTATCCAATGCTAATACTAATAGTAAATGTATATTGCACGGAAGAAGTTTGCTTGGTATTTAGATCTTAGTTTTTTTTATTGTGTTATTGATGATTAAAATTATTGTCATGAAGCCTTGCAGTTTCTGGCGGCAGAAAATTATGATTGTGTCCTAGGTCCAGATTATATGTTTGTGGTGTTTTTTCTGGTGTGGCATTATTAGACAACTAAAGAGTCCCAGATAAAGAATATTACATGCCGAGTATAATATTATCAAGGTTTTAAATATTGAACACCGAGGAAGTACCAGACGGCCAAAATCCAAACCAGATTGGAAATATTGGGGAAATATCAGGTATATGTAACAAATATTGGAGTGTCATATCAGATGATGTGCATGCAATATAATTTCTAAATAGTAAAATAAACATATTTAATGAAATCAAAGCGTACAAAAATGTAGATAATATATGTTTAGGAATACTAACCTGCCGAAACTTACTTTGGTGAAAGAGTCTACTACAATTTTGCTAAAAAAACCTCATAGGGCTAGAATTTTTGCCAGACGAACATTAAAATTTTTTTGAACTATATTATTTTGCGACAAGCCATGTAAAAGAACATATTGTTTTGCGACAAGCTGTGTAAAAGAACATATTGGTTAACATATCGCCAACATATCGGCCATGTCGGGATACATCGCCTAAAAATTGTGAAAAGTAGAAAAGGATATTGAGACCATATCATTATACAGCAAGCCATTTAAAAGGATATATTGGCCGATATATTCGGGCTATATCGAAGATATTTAAAACAATGGATATTACATGACCAAAGATATTGGTTTCATGACAACTTAAATACAACAAAAAAGAAGGAAACAAGAAATATGTTATCTGTATGACAGTTTTCAAGTATAGACACCAAATGGTCTCGCAATGAAGCCTATACTAATTTATCACTAGTAAGTGAATTTTGACCATCTAAAAATATATATTAGTTTATGTACCTGTGAAGAGTTTAACTCATCTGAATCCATGGAATTTCTATCTTTTCTTTCATTCATAGGAACAGGATCATTGAGGACATCTATCCTGCTTAACTGAAAATCCCCTGCACCAGAAACATGGACCTGTTTCGGGGGAAAAACGTGAAAATCAAAGTGATACTAATTCCTTGAGCAATACTCTTCATGAAATTAACTTACCAGCTGGTTCACAGACAGACAGTGAGCACGCACATAACCTGATAGAAGCAAAGTGCATGTTCCAGGATTATCAGCATCAGGTTCATAACCAACCTGTGGACTCCAAGAATTGCATAAAAATGATAACACAAATAATATATTTTGTAAGCAAATGCAACATGTGATCACTTCTGTTCATAAGCCTAAATATGAGATATATGAATATCTAGAGTATCAAACTCTGAAATATAGCCGTGAGATAAACCAGAAAATTTTAAACATCAAATAAAATTCAGCAAAAGATAGTAATTTAACTGAAACTAGCTGGAAGTTCAAATATCCATTAGAGTTAATTGCTAATATTTGGATGTAAAAGTTGGTTGAGCATTTAGGTCAAAATTTACTCACTCTCAAACAAGACAAATTCAAGCTAGTACTGCTACCTCATAATAGTCTCTTAACGGAAAATAAATATATATTCAGACAAATATATTATCCACTGGTTGATTTTCTGGTTCCAATGAATAAGCTTCTACTAATTGTTTTAACATTGATACATGTAGTTACATCTAACTGCTATTATATAAATTACTGTTTAATTGAAAGTTGCATAATGAAGTCGTAAAATACAAGAAAAGTTGTGGTTCTTTTCAAATGGGTGGGAAATAAACTCCTTAACCTCCTCTATAATTATGTGAAAATAAAACCAAAAACAACAACATTTTAAATCTTCTAATTTCATATAATTAATGAAAACAAATTATTAGCATCTTGTTAATCAATACCGAGCTATATCAAGCTTACAATAGCGATGCGTGAAATCAGCTCAATCACGGCTCACTTGCACTTTTTTTTAATTTTTAAAAAGCAGAGCTTGAGCATTTAAAGTTCAAACCCAGACTAGATCGAGGCAGTCAACTTAAGTTCAAAATGCAAATTAACCAAACTTGAGCTAAACTTGTAAAATTTTGAACCAAACACAAGCTATGCTGGCCGGATCAAGTTTGCCTATTTACACCCCTAGATATACAGGCATCAAGCATTATAGCCTCAAAACCCAGATATTAATTAATCATTTGCAATCATTCTGTAGATCACTTGTGATTCAGAGGATGACCTCATTGACCTGTTTGCAAAAAGATTGGAACACATTTTTCTAAATTACTTTTCTCAGCCTGATCAGGATCTGATATGATTCTGTAGTTAGTAGTTATTACCGCTATCTTCATACAATAAAGTAGGGCCACTGTGTGCATTAGTATATGTATTGGTATCACAAGTTGACAAACGGAGGCATCACAGATACTCTGTAACTTGACTACAATCTGCAACATCACTGAAGCTATTCTTCTTTTCACATGCAAGAGGAATTTGGCAAATGCAGTTCTGAATGTGATATATATTTGTCTACATATATACATGTATATATGTGTATATATGTGTGTGTGTGTGTGTGTGTGTGTGTGTATAGACACACGCACGCACACACATATATATATAGACACACACATACATATATATATGAGAGAGAGAGCAATGGAATTTTGTATACCGCACAAAATAGAAATCTTAGTTTATCTTGCTTTATTAGTTTTTCCAGGCATGAAGTTTGCACCTTCCAGGTACTTTCCAGATTGATCTTAATGTTGCTTCAAGAATATTAAAATCAAGATAAACTATTGTGAACGCTCATACTGGATATGACGAACAATATATACAAGGCTTCTACCGCACAACTGATTTTTCTGACCATCATTACTACTTACAAATTTTTACCCAGAAACATTTTTTTCATGGATCATGATATCGTACAGCATAAACCATGATTCATGCTCACAGAGGTAGGACTCATGAATAGAATAAAAAATGAATAAATTAGGTCCAGTATGCAGCCACACATACCTCCTGAGACATAACATAAGATCGCTGGTTTCGCCAATGAGGAGCCGAAAGGTGTTGCTCTCTGAAAAGCCACATGAACTGCAAAACGGGCATCCATGTGTAGGTAAGTCAAGACTTGCACAGGCTTCCAGTTTGTTCCAGCTCTTTGAATCAACTCAAATCAGGTTTGATCAATTTTTTTAGAGAAATTACCTTATGCAACTCTTCCTTTGTATCTGCTAGATAAAATTTACAATCCTCAGGCAATTCTGAAGCAAGACAAGAAACACTCATCTTCTTTAACTCCTGTTTCCTTCTGATGTCTGTGGGAAGATCCTACAGAAATCAATAATTCACTATCCACGTTATAACCAAATGGATTTGCAAAATCTACAAGAAGAAACAAAGAATGATACAGGATACCAACTCGAATCATGACAGCAGTACTAGGCAAACCGACAGCTCTGAATACAGAGAGAGCTTGAGCTCCAAACGAATCAATGAGGCTAGTTGATTCACATCCATCATATAAAGAGTTGGCAGATACACCAAAAGCAATTAGATCTGCAACCTATGTGAAATAAACATAAGTTAGTAAGATCCTGAAAGCTTTCAAAGTAGTACAAGATTAACAAGTAAGCAAATACCTTAGCCATTTCCATGCATGCTAAGAGATCACCATATGGTGCAACCAAGACCTTCAAAAAGTATTGTAAATTGTTAGAATTCAACTTTGGCTAAAATGTTATCATATGAATAAGAGTGCAGATAATAGCTAATAACTACACTATTGCCAATCATTATGTGCAACACTCAGAATACTGATGATGCAGAAAAAAAAAATCTTTAAAATGTATTGATTAGAATCTACTAGAGAGAAAATGGAACTAGTACCACATTTCACAATATTTATGTTGCAATTAGTATGCATCTACATTACCTGGGTACTTCTAATCTGAAGTCATACCTGCACCCAACACATACCCGCACCCAAACTCCTTTGACACTCCTTGCATGCATGCATACATTCATTCGGGCATGTACTCAATTATACAATACATGGTTTAATTTAAAACACTTTTCATACATTTCTTGGATCCACTTCAAACTCAATGGACATGGGTCAGCTTTTGAATTATGATTTTGAAGGGTCATTTGGATGTCTAGTTCAAAAGCTAGTGATTTTCCAATGCATAATCCACATAATGAAAGAGACAAAATTGTTATAAGAATTTTAATTATCATCCTTGTTTTCAAATAAATTCTTAATTCCAATATATATTATACGTGTATATAAACATCTATATAGTTGTGTCCCCATACCCTATCTTCTATAAATTTGCCCTGTGCCGTACCCACTCCCATACACATGCAACATAGGAGGTTATTTCAAAGTGAACCCTCAATGTGAAGTGGTTACGGATCAGTTTCTAAAAGACGGCTCAGACATACATTCTATATATTTAAAACCATTCTCATCTATATAACATGGAAATTTGTTGTCAAGCTGACACAGACACGTATCCCACACTAGCATTGCTTGGACACTTAGATACATGACAGACACTTTACAAATATGTCCCCGATTTTACAATATACTTCTAAGTTATGACACTTCCTGGGCAATTCTAAAAGGACTATGTGATTGTTAAAAACTTGTTGCATAAAATTAGAAAAGAAAGATATAAATTTACTATCCACGTGTGTTAATAACAATATTTAAAGAAAACATCAACAGTGATTCAAGGCCTATTTTCTAATCAGAGCTATGAAAATGTATGCAAATATGACATTTCATCTCATTATTTGTATCGAGAGTGTATTGCAGATGCATTAATATATCTACATATATGTGCCTTATTTTAGAAGGAATATATATAAATTGATGTACCCCTTCCTGTACACACACATGTATAAAAAAATGTTATGATGCTGCTGTATCTTCATATCCTACTTTACATGCAATAGTCATGTCCCTGACTTGTGTCGTGACGTGTTCCTTGCTCCATGTCTATATTCATGCTTATTATGTTCATCACTGATCAAATAAACCAGATGTAAGATACCCCGATTCAAATTCGACGTTTGGGGAATACACAACTTGGAGCCTTTGAATAAAATTTTGTACAAAAAGAAAGATAAGCAAAGAAACATTTAATAAAAAATTTAACACCTAAACATGTTTACATCTTTTCAAACAGAAATATTTTAATACCATCTTCAACCAAAACACCATAGCAACAAGTCATATCTAATGTGTTTCTCAAGCCCAGAGTTTCCATATGCCTAACAGGAAAATTGAATAGCGAAGATCTCAAATTTTCAAAAACTGATAAGTGAGAACTGAATTTCCAGTAATATCTTTGATAAATAGTAAAATTGAGAGAAAGTTCACTTGCCAGTTGCCATGTTAAGTCAGCATAGTAAGTCATTAAGGAAAACTTTGTAAAAGCTTTCCTAAATGATAAACTTTTAATATGTTCGACAGATTACAACTTTTAAGCATGATCTTCAAAT